TCAAAACTGTGCTATCTTTGGCTGGTAGGCATTCTTGTCTGCAAGTTCTTGAACATGTGTTCCTGTTCTTGAGGATAAGAACAAAAAATGTGGTATTATTTCATTTTAGATATAAGACTTCAAGAAAGTATAAAAATAGGTTAAAAAAAAAAAAAAAGAAGCAACTTTCTCAGCAGAATTATTTTCATCACTTCCCACCCACACCCAAAACTAATCTTTCCTGTCAACCCACTTGCTTTTTTTGTTTTCCTGACTGGATGAAGTAATACAGCTAGGCTATTCTTTCCTCCCACCAACTCATCCAATACTCTTGGAAGTTATTTTAGACATCAAGTTTCATTTATTATCTGAAGTAATAAGCATAAATCCAGTTTTAAGAAAAATGCAGTTTTGTATAAGTCTATTGCATAGATCTTCCATTCTGTGTGCTCCATCTGCATGTGCAATCTGCTTCTATATTTTCAGCCAGCTTGCATGGGCAGATTAATGCGTACAATTAGAAAGCAACCTCACAGGCGTTCAATAAACTGCCTTCATTATTACACTCAAGAGAGTCCCTTTGGATGTCTATAAAAGCCTAGTTTTCTGCCTGTTAGCTAAATAATTGACAACGCTTAAAATAATCAGGAGCAAATGAACAAAACGAAGACCATTGTGGTAAAAAGAAGCAAACAAAAGATTCTCAAGGCTGCAAACCCTTTTTTGTGTGAGCCCTCTTTCATTCTCTCTAGCAACCTATATTAGAAGTCTGGTCAGGTTTACATTTGCACTTCTGTGGGGAAAATTTGTTACCAGCCTGCTGTTTGAACCACACATCATAGGGGACTGAAAACTGGCAAGGACACTCACATTTATCCTGTGAAAATAGATAAATAAATAAAAATTCTGTTTTGATTCAGGTTTATTTTCTTGCATTTTAGGACTTTTGAGAAAACTGCTTTGGCAGGCAAGTGTATATCTGCTTGGTTTGGTGAACCTCCTGCATTATGTTTGGAATATGCACTTAGAGGCACTCTGGCAAATTCTGTTCCAAGCTCCAAATTCCGAGCAGAATATATTGAGTGCACACATGTACCCGAGTGCAGCAGTGCCAGGAATTTTTACAGGAGTACAACCTTCACAAAAACAGAGGCATGAATATGTAACAAAGGGAAAGATGAAGTGATAAAACAGCCATCATGGACTATTAAAAAGAAACCCTATGTGCCAGACTGCTTTTCCCATTTCATAAATAGGTAGCTAGCTATTAGAAACGCAGTGGATCACATCCAACACTACAGTTTCTGGGAAGTCGAACCCAAATCAAATAAAAGCACCTTGCTAGAGAGCTGGGCTAAAACCTGATGGCGAGACATGCTACAGTTCAGGCAGAGATTCATACAGCCTGGACAGCAAGCCACAGAGAAAAGCAAGTCATGAGGTGGCCATCCCTCATTACTATTTAAACAACATTTTTTTGTGTCCTAACTAAAGAGAGATGTCCTGAAAAGTCCTGAGTCAGCCATCATCTTGATTCTCATTTGGAAAGATGGACACTCAGTCCTTTGCTCACAAGGATTAGCAATTGCAAAGTATGGACTACGCAAGCATTCATTATCTTTTAATGCACTCTGACAGACACACAATCCCTACCACAGGCCACCAATGTAAAATGCATCCAAGACATCATTACTCAGAAGGAAGGACTCCATTTCATGTATAAGTAGTTTCCAGTAGAAAAGTGCACATGTACTTTTTTTTCAAGATCTGGTATCTGCAGAGGCAGAACGACAGCAGTGCTATCGCTGATAAATCCCTGAGGTGTTTCTCCTCTGTTAGTACAAACCACAGCAATCCTGCCACGCAGCAACTCCCCCAGCCCAAAGTGTGCTCCTGTGTGCCGTTCAGGCTTTTTATACACAGCTCCTTTAGGAGATACCTTGTGGGTTTTGTCCATTTTAGTCACCTAACAGAGCTTGAGTCCACCTGGGTCACAGGAGCTGGTGATCCCAAAAGAGAAAGACTTACAGACTTTTCCACAGTGCTCTGCATGTGTGTCTAGACCTCATTCTCACAAGACACAAACACATATTCAAGCAACTGTGATAACAATTATAGTTGACTTTCAAGGGCTAGTTGTACACAAAGAAGCTAACAAGGCTTTCAAGAGATGGGAAATAACTGTATTCTGCAGATGGTGGACAAGGTTGCAGACAATTGTTCCTTTTGGCATTCGCTTACTTCATGTTACACCCTTTGAAAGGGTATTTCAGTGAGAATTTCCTGGTTTTAATAGTGGCAGGGATTTAGTCGGAACAACAAATTTCTGAGCAGCATCATACTTTATTCTCAGAGTATGTTAATGACACAACAATCTTAAGTGCCTTTCCATAACAAATAGAAGCTGCACTTCATACAAGAGAGGTACTGATTGGGCTGTACCCCGTGGAGGCAGATACAGCTAGAGGTGGTGATCAATTTTAAAAGGTTTCCCAGCTAATGAGACTGCTGGTAGGCATTGATCTCCTCAGGAAAATTGTGATGTTGCAGCTACAGATGCTTACAGAGAAGAGACTAACAAGGCAGCTTATCTTTTGAAACGGTTCCACAGGCCATGACTTTGCAGAGGTCATTGTTTTGTATGCAGCTCATGACCTTCCTTCCCCTCTCTCCCAGCAAGCAGAGAAGGAGATCAAAATACTCTAGCAGAGACAGTGAGTAAAGGGGCACAACCTCATATTTGTTCTTTTTGCCTCTAGACATAGCCTTTTAGATGATGGAAGTAATGAGTCACTCATTTTTGCACAGTATGCAAAAGCATGGCTTTAAATGCCAAGCACTTTTCTGTGAACATGTCTCTAATAACCAGTAGTACATCAGTAAAGTTACTTTACAAGATCTGAGATGTTGCACAGTTATCTTCCCATCACTACTGGATGTTGTGCTCCATAATGCAATATCTTAGCAATATGATCTCAACAATATCTGCTGGTAAATCCATTACTGCCCAAGACTCCTCTTCCTCTGCCCACCAGAGGATTCCTTTGGTCTGGAGAAGGCACTAGTGTCACTTTGTATAGCATGGGAGGTTTTTGGTTAACCAATATTGTGTTCACTGTGGGTAGGTTTTCAGCTCACTTCCTACAGGGCCCTCCTGGTGTATGTTCAATACATAGTACACACAAATAATCTTCTTGCAGTTCAACATAATCTCGAGCAATGCAGCTCGACAGTCCATCTTTACCTTCAGTCACATCAGTCACTTTGGTTTCCTAAGGTGACACCAGTTGAACGCTTGCAAAGTTCTCTTAAACTGGTAGACAGAACATCTGCCAGTCAGTCTCCTTCCCAGTGGCCAAGTAGCCTGAGATCCTGCAGCACCTGGGGACCAACCGACTGCCCACATGAAGGTGTTTCAGAGGGTTTGGACCTGCTTTTGACAGAACCAAGCTTACTTTTAATGGAAAAAGTGCTGATCAGCAAAATTCATTTCATCCTAAGCAAAAAAAGATACAGACAGGGAAGGTGAGGGAAAGGAAGAGATATGTCTCTGTTCATAACTGAATAAGCCTTAAGGCAAAAAACCCCCAAACAGATTTAATGTGAAGATAAGAACCCTGACAATCCCCTTAGGAAAAAGCAAGTCACATAACTGAGGACCCTGCTCTGAAAACATCTGATGAGGTTGTTCTTGAGTTAGGCTCAAAGAGCATAAAGGTATCTAGTCTGTCAGAAACAGAGAGATCTAAAGCTGGGTCTTCAGAAATCCTGAGGAATCAAGGTTTATCTGTGGGAAATCTACACTGGAACAAACAGAGGACAAACAGCAGGCAAAATACCAATATCTAGAGACAAACGTTGGCAATATATTTAAGGAAATAGCTGTACCTAAAGCCAAATGGGAAAAAATAAAAGGAAAAAGACAAGAAAGGCTGAGATCAGTAAGAAAGCAGTAAAATGTCTATACATTAGAGAACAGAGTCTGGACAAATGATGAAGGAACTGGAGCTACTTGCATGGGACAAAACTGACTCCTTTAAAGGTCACAGAGGAGGAAAAAGCAATCAATCATGCTGAGAACACAGGTGAGTAATTTCAGGAGCCAAAGATAAAAAAAGGTAAAGGTGACTAAACAGCATTGTGTGCTAATTAAGTGATAGAATTGGTTTGGATTAGTTAAAAATAAATAGATAGGGTAGAGTGAACTGGCATGGCAGGAAATTCACTGCCAATGGAATTAATTATGTCAGGAATTAAGCCATATCTAAATCTGACATTAAGGAGGTATTCTTGGGAAACAGGTCTTCACAGCAGATCTCTATATTTAAGCTGCAGGACTATGCTAAATATAGGAAGTCCTCATTATTTCCATGTGGGTTATACTTCTTTACTAGTCACTAAAATAAGTGGGTGGAGATGTAATTTAGATCCTGTTTTGATAATCAGGCTTGGATTGAATGATCACATATTGATTCAGTTAGAGAAAGAAAGCACAAAGTCATTCTATAATTCACAGTTTTCATTTTGAAGTGTATGTTTTGAGAAGCTAAGAAAAATCTACTGAACCAAATTGCTCACAGAATGGAGGAGGCTTGGAGTATTTCACAGAACCACAGAGTGGTTGAGGTTGATCGGTTGGAAGGGACTTCTGGAGGTCATCTTGTCCAACTTTCTGTGCTCAAGCAGGGCCACCTAGAGCCAGTTGACCAGAACTTTTGAATATCTCCAAGAATGGAGACTCCACAACACCCCTGGGCAACCTGTGCCCATAGTCAGTCATCCTCACAGTAAAAAAGTGTTTCCTGATGTTCTGGAGGAACCTCCTGTGTTTCAGTTTGTGCCCATTGCCTCTTTACCTGCAGTCAAAAGTTTCAAGTCACAATGTGAACAAACAGCAACAGAAGCCAAACCCTTCCTAAGCCCCAAATCAGACAAAAGCAAGCAAACAAACAAACAAAAAACCCAAAACAGAAGGACAAGCAGATGGGGGATTTAGATAATAAGTTTCAAATTTTACTTACTAATATTGGTCTTCAAGGAACATCTCTTTTCTTTGCATTTCTTCTTTCCTTTTTTTAACTTCAAGTCTCTCTGCCTACAGCATTAAAAACAGGAAAACATACTTGAGATTTCCAGTAAGCCAGAAACAGATATTGATTATTTCAATGGAAGTATTTCAATATTCTGCTTTTCAAAACAACTACAGTAGCAGCTGGGTACAGAAGTGACCCAATCCCAAATTTAAAAGTGTTCAGGCATGACCAAACAGCTCCTAGTAAACTCGTCTGAAAGAGAAAACCACACTGTGCTCCTGCCAGACCCATCTATCCTCACAAAGAGCCTCACGCGCCTTCACATTTCTCACGCCACAGCACTGTTGGGGTCATCTCTCAGTGTAACTGATGCAGCTTTGATTCTAGTAAGAAAGCAGACGACATGAACCACCGCACCAAAACAGATGACAGTTTTGTAGCACAGTGATACACATACATGTTGCTCTGCACATAGACCTGTGGCCTTCATGAGTGTCGGTACTGGCCAGCTGAATACATATTAAGATGGATGAAGGTGAGAGGCATTGGTATTCAACCAGTGTGATTCTGTCTCAGGTACCATGCCCAGTGCAAGAGTCAACCAGAGCCTTGACACACAAAACTCCTGTGGAAATCTGGATACTACACAAGTGATTAAGTCCCTTAACACAAAATTGCACATAATGTCCAGTGGAAAGGTTGTCTAAGCTGCCCCACTCCCCAGATTCAAGAGGGATAAAATGTTAAAATAAAACAGAAACTAGACAACTTGCTGCAGCAGCAATATGTAGCTCAAGCTAAATTCCAATCAAAAGGAGGCCAGTCAATTCTCTTTTTTTGACACACAGGCAGGTGTAGGTGTAGGTAGGTCCAGTGGGAAAACCAGTCAAAAAGCAGATCAGTGTATTAAATGTACAAATCAGAAATGCTGAAACCAGGATTTCAGCCCTGCTATATTTTGATCACAAGCTCCAACATTGCAGTTGGTGGGGGGGATGCTCCAACAAAAGCTGCCACCCAAGCTTCACAACAACCAGTGCATTGAGCAACCTGCCACCCTGGACTGTCATTCTACTTATCCTCCCCCCTCAAAATGAAAAAAGTAAGTAAGTGTTCGGTAACCCAGCAACCAGATATTGCTCTAAACGAAGTGCCCTGGGAATTTCAGACAATACCTTGCAGAGACAAGAAGGGAGCTGTAACTGGGAATGGCACATTTGGTCAGAGCCCCAAATCAGGTAGAGGACACTGTACCTGAGTGGAAGGACTGTGCAAGGCCAGATAGAATGGGGGTGGGTGTATGTAAGGGGGAAAGTGGTGTTAAGAACAGGGCTGTAACCCCCACCCTCATCGTTTTCTTCCTGTCCTGCAATCAATAACATTTCAGAAAAATTATAATTCTACTGGCAGTTACTCAATTACTTTGCCTTCAGTGATTTCAGGGTGAGTATTTTTTAATTGGATAAAGAATGACTGTCTGGAAGAGATTTGCAAAACAAGTGCAAATTCCTCCTCGGCATGGATTGGATTAAAAAAAAATAATCCTGTCAGATGTCTGTAGATAGGAAAAGAGCCACTATGTTGTGTAATGATATAAACTGTTGGAAGGCAAATGACTTACAAGTTATTTGGAAAAAGGCAATGGGAAAATAAACAAAGATGAATCTCTGAATAAGGTGTCCTGTCACTCAGTCATTTGATACGATGAGAGAGTGGTAGAAAGTATGAAGTACTGATGCAACTAAAAAAAATAATCAAACTAAAGTAAGGAATATCACCTCACAGTATAAGTAAATTTTGATAGTGCTCAAGGGATATCTTGTTGGCTCCTAACCCCTCCACCCAGAGACAGATGATTTTTTAGGCAGACGACTCCCACCCATCTGTGCAACTTAACAATTTACAGGGAAAGAAAGGAAACAGGAAGAAAGGAAATCTGATGGCATCTATTATTGTCAAAGTTGATGCTGATACCCTCAAGACACCAGTAATAGCTCCCAGACTTTTCCCCACCACTGCTCAACACTGAAAGCTGATGCCTTCACCTCTGAAAAAGCATTTGACGTGGGATCCACAATCATATTGCAAGGCTCCTGAAAGTTTAAATCCAAAGCTCACCAGAGTTGCTGTGGTGTAGCTCCTAGCTAGAACAACATGGTTATATTAACTTTGTTAAATACAATCCGTCAATATCACCCCTGTCTCCCACTAGATAAAAAAGAAGGAAATATCCTACAGCTATTATACCACCAGAATGGTGCCTGAAGAAAACTCCAGCATATTGAAATTATTTACTTGCAGCTGGTGTGACTGCTTTCTACTCTGGAGGTTTACCCAGGGACCCCTGCTTAGGGCACGTACAAATGACAGGCAATGGGACTGGGACATTCTCTAACTAATGACAATCTATCAGTAGACATTGCCAAAGCACTCCACATTTGGCACTGCCTTCAAAAACAAAGCCAAGAGTGGAACAGCTGTGATATTGAAGGTAAACATGTTGAAAAGCATCAGCAGAAGGTCTGTGAAGTGCCTGGTTTTAACAAATTCCTGAACAAGGCCATTCATGCTGATTAACACAGTCAAATTAAAGAGCACATGATTTGATAAAGAATAAAATGAAATTACAGTTTATTCTAAATAGGACAGTTCCTAAAGATGGCAGGATTGTTACTGTGTAATGTAAGAGCAAAAGAAAGTAGGTTGCACATGGTAGAATTACACTGAGCCTTTTGACTTCAAATCTTTCAAATCTTTCAATATTTAGTCAAGATTTGGAATATAGAAGGAAAGGCTAAAGACAGGATAACAGGCACAACAATTGAATGACAGGAAACAGAAATATCCAGTGCACTGAAGTTATGCTATTTTGTGCATAGCACAAATGCAGAAAGCTTAAAATACAACAATCATAGAATCATAGAATCATAAATGTTGGAAAAGACCTCTAAGATCATCAAGTCCAACTGTCAACCCAACATCACCATGTCTACTGAACCATGTCCCGAAGTGTCACATCTACACGTTTTTTTGAACATCTCCAGGGATGGTGACTCCACGACCTCTCTGGGAAGCCTGTTCCAATGCCTCACCACTGTTTCGGTGAAGAATTTTTTCCTAATATCCAATCTAAACCTCCCCTGACACAACTTGAGACCATTTCCTCTTGTCCTTTCACTAGTTACTTGGGAGAAGAGAACAACACCCACAACTATCCAGAAGCCAACTATCCAGAAGAACCCAAGTATCAGGCACTTGTTTATTTTCCTGGGAACTTTGACAGTCCTTTCATCCAAGAGACTCAAAGGAAGTTATGGTTCAGTCTGGGCAAAATCTGTGAAAGGCTGCACAAAAGATACTAAACTGCAGATGCCTGTTACTAATTAGCAAATAATAATAATAATAATAATGCTACTTCCCATGAACTCCCACACTTTTCCCCACACATCTCAGCACTAGGAACAAATACAGAAATAGGGACTCCCCTGCTAATGTTACAAAGTCTCTCCAAAATTATTTCAGTGTGCACTCAGACATCACTAGATTCGGAGTATATCCAAATTCATGCACCCCAGGGTTATCCCATGAACAAATCAAAGCAGCTTCAGGACAAACTGCCTGACATGGAGCATATGTGATCCCAAATCGCGTTCAACTACTACACATGGAGACCTGAGTACCAGTTCAAACAAACTGGTCCTGTGGAACACAGGATGAGGGGGAAAGATCCACCTCTCCTCTCTCTGGGAGCTGGAGAGAGACAATGTAGATGCCAAGAGCGTTGGTATTCCAGTACATGACCTCATGGTTAATTAAAGAATCACAGAGACAAGCAGGTGGACTCATACAGATGGTAAGGCAGACCTTCCACATTTGGGTACTGCTTTGGCAGACACCCAGTTTTCTCTTGGTCACAAAGATAACGGAAGAACGGATACTGCTTTTCTCTGCAAAACAAGCATTAAAGCAGTAACATAAACAGATCCTATGTTCATAAGCAGCACTGGCTTACAGTACATCACCCTTGCAATCAAGGAAGAACTGAGCTGAGTACCAGCACCCATTGTAGTCATCACACATTAATCTGTAGGGCTTCACCATTCATGTTCGTTGGCAAAGTAGCTCTCCAGCTCTTAAAGTTTCAGGGCCTCTGCTGATAAAGCCGGCTAGCTATTATCTCCTTTCAGACCATCAGACAATTTGTCTTTTATTGAATGAATAATAACCTTGATCAAAAGATGGACTGGCCAGCAAGAAAAGGTGGCTTCTGAATTTGCAGAAAGAGACGCTTTCAGCTGATGACCTGCAGGTGCAGTTGCCTACAAACCTAGCACTTTAAAAAAAAAAAGTTCTTCTCCTGCAGTAACCAGGGCCCAGTGTTGACCCTACAGTAGCAGTTTTTTAGGATCCTTTTCCTGTCATCCCTAGCTTTCAGGAGCCTTTCAGGCAGGGTGAAATAGGCAAATCAACACCTTTTAGTGGCTTTCCAGCATGCTTTTCTTAAATGCAAAGTTGAGTAAACATCTTCCAAGCAGCAATTTTCATCAGCTCAATCACTATTGTGGAAGACAACCCGAATAAACAAACTCAAATTAAGAGTTCCCTTGCATGGTCCCCTGTTTTGTTTGTTTGTTTTGTGGGTATATGTTTATTTATTCAAATTAAACAGTCTGTTTAGCAAAGATGTTTGCCATGATGTTGCATTCTCCTTTAGAAGAAACTGATAGTTACAATTTTACTATCTACAACATCTATAAAGATTTTATAATCTGTGGGAGTGAAGGTAAGGAAATTAAAGAGCATGAAAACAAAACTGATACATCAATATATTTTCTAGATGTAACTATAAATTATAGCAGTCTTGCAACATTTTTCTTGTCCAATGCCCCTGGGCAAACAACATATATTTAATAGGTGAATAAAATACAATTAATCCCCTTTCTACCATTGCTATCATCACTGCTACTGGAGCTATACATGAGCTGGTAACTGTTAATGACATTTTCACATGATAATATTTATTGCATCTGTGAGCTACTCTGTATGGGCTTATCCCCAAAGA